AAGAAGTAGGATCTAAGGAGGCAGTAGGGACAAATAGAGCAAGGTTAGGGGAGGCTGGGGCGAGGTGAGGAGCTGCAGCCTGTGGTGACTGGAGGGAGGGGCCGGGAGCTGAGCACCAAAGAGGTGGGTCCAGGGCAGGGCCCAGAGTCCAGTTGTGAACAGATTAACCCATGGGGCTAGAGAGCTGAGCCGGCCCACCTGCCCACTGGTTAGGCGTACACACCCACACACTCTATTTCACCCATGTTTGCCCTCTTCACAACACTGCTGCCTCCTGCACCCGTCTGTGCACATCCACACCTTCGTGCATGTACATCCTAAGGCCCCAGCACGTGTTTGTGTTTATAGACACAGATTTTTTTTTTAATTTATTTATTTATGCATACAGGAGCTGGGGTGTAGGCCAGAGGTGCAGGGGGTGAGAGGAGTCACCAGAGACAGAGAGGGGAGCAGAACAGGCGGATGTACTGAAATACACTGCTGAGGGGAACAGCGGGCGAGGCAGGACAGGTCTGCTGCGCCATGTGGGTAGCTCCCTGGCCGGGAATGAAACGCTGCAGTGGCTGTGGACAGCCTCATAGTGCTGCAACATAACCCCTTGCACCACCAGGGAGGCCCCATAGACACAGATCTTATGTATTTTTTTTTAACATCATGGATTTGTGGCACTGATACACTTGTACACAGGTGGTTTTTGGTGGGGGACAGCTCACTGATGAGGGACCTTACCTTCACAGGTGTTTGACAACGACATCTCCTACATTGAGGGTGGAACAGCCAGTGGCTTCTACACCGTGGAGGACACGCACTATACCACCAGGTGAGGGGTGTGCAAGTGGGCAGCACAGATCTGCACTCGAGTGGGAAGGATGGGGAGGGTGTTCGCGGTGGACTTGGTGCTCATGCCAGCCACACTTGCTCTGGCCCGCAGGATGTACCGCGTGTATGGGAAAAAGAACATCAAGTTGGAGCCTGTGCCTCTCAAGGGAGCCTCCCTGGACCCAAGGTGAGCACCTGTGACACGAGATAGGGGCGCTTGACCCCCAACCTCCTCCTCCGCCATAGGGGCAGGTTTGGACTCCAGAAGAAGAGGCCTTCAAGCAGCCCTTGTACCCTCTGTCACACGTAGCTTGGGGCGGGGGGAGTCTCTGAGGCTCAGGAAGGGGCCTAAACCTATAAGGATTTTTTGGCATGGTCAGGGGTATGGGGCAATGACTGCCCATCACAGCACCTCCTGCCCCTTCTGCCCAGGTTCGTTTTCCTGCTGGACCGAGGGCTGGACATCTATGTGTGGCGGGGGGCCCAGGCCACGCTGAGTAGCACCACCAAGGCCAGGTATGAGGACCGTGCCCCGCTCAGATGGGCAGGAGGTTCTGTGCAATGGAAAGCATCACCCGAGGAGGGGAATGGGTCTCACTGAGGGTCTGTCCTCTACGCTCAGGCTCTTTGCAGAGAAAATTAATAAGAATGAGCGGAAAGGGAAGGCGGAGATTGTGCTGCTGGTGCAAGGCCAGGAACCCCCAGAGTTCTGGGAGCCACTGGGTGGGGAGCCTTCTGAGATCAAGAAGCATGTCCCTGATGATTTCTGGCCCCCACAGCCCAAGCTGTATAAGGTGAGCAAAGGTGCCGGGGTGGCCGTGAGCACCACCTGACTTCAGTGGGGAGAGGGTGCCACCTTCTGGACGGGAAGAGCCCGGGCTGAGGTCTGAAGCCTGGCTCTGGGAGGGGCCCGGCTGTGTTTCCAGGAAGGTGGTCTGAAGAGGGGGCTGAGGAGCACCTGGGTGCCAGGCCTGAGAAGCTGGCCTTGGTTCTGTAGGTGACAAAAAGCCACGGGGGTGCTGTGAGCAGGAAAAGGGCAGCTCAGAGAATCAGAAACAATGAAGAACCCGGTGAGGGCAGGCAGGGAATACATGTTAAAAGCCTTGCTGCTGATTGAATTACCCCAGCACAACTGTGGGTGGAGAGACGACGGAGATTCAGAGACACTAGACCTGAGCCCACAACTGCAGGCTGGAGGCCAGACTCCACGGCTGTTGTGGGTGGGGCTGACATCCCTAGATACCTTCCCTGTTACACCCACCTCTTCGCCTGCAGGTGGGCCTGGGCCTGGGCTACCTGGAGCTACCACAGATCAACTACAAGCTCTCTGTGGAACATAAGATACGGCCCAAGGTGGAACTGATGCCTGGGATGCGGCTGGTGAGACCACAGGGAGGAGGGCTTGGGCCAGACTCCCTCCCCAGGGCGAGGCACCCGCATTGACCTCTAGCCTCTGACCCACAGCTGCAGAGCCTTCTGGATACGCGCTGTGTGTACATTCTGGACTGTTGGTCCGATGTGTTCATTTGGCTGGGCCGCAAATCCCCGCGCCTGGTGCGGGCAGCCGCGCTCAAGCTGGGCCAGGAGCTGTGTGGGATGCTGCACCGCCCGCGCCACGCCACCGTCAGCCGCAGCCTCGAGGGCACCGAGGCACAGGTGTGCAGTGTGGCCCTGCTTGCTGAGGCCCCCTCACCCAGCCCCTGCGAACCATTCCTGCCTCGAGCCCTCAGGATGAGTTACTTCTACTTCCCAGGCCCCACCCCTGTGCAACTGGCTCCTCCCACCCCGTTGCCAAGTCACACCCCTTCTCCAGTCCCCATCCCCAGCTTCCTGGGCCTCCTCAGTCCCCAGCCTCACCTGTGCCCTACCCCCACTCCAGCTGTGTTTCACACCCTTGGGCAGGTGTTCAAGGCCAAGTTCAAGAATTGGGACGATGTCCTGACGGTCGACTACACGCGCAATGCAGAGGCCGTGTTGCAGGGCCCGGGGCTCACTGGGAAAGTGAAGCGCGACGCTGAGAAGAAAGATCAGATGAAGGCGGACCTCACCGCACTCTTCCTGCCACGGCAGCCGCCCATGGCGCTGGCTGAGGTGAGGAGGGGTCTCGGGAGCTGCGGGAGGCGCGTTGTGCATCCAGGGTCGTGGGGGACCCCTGCCTGGTGAGGAGGACCAGTCCGCTGGTGGTTGCCTGCAGGCCGAGCAGCTGATGGAGGAGTGGAACGAGGACCTGGACGGCATGGAGGGCTTCGTGCTGGAGGGCAAGAAGTTCGCGCGGCTGCCAGAGGAGGAGTTCGGCCACTTCTACACGCAGGACTGCTACGTCTTCCTGTGCAGGTGCTGGCAGAGGGCCCCGCGCTCCTTGCCCTGCCCTGGTGCCGGCGAGCCCAGGTCCTGCTCACCTCCCCCTGACCCTGCAGGTACTGGGTCCCCGTGGAGTATGAAGATGAGCAGGACAAGAAGGAAGATAAGGAGGAGAAGGGGGGTGCTGAAGGCAAGGAAGGCGAGGAGGCAGCGGCTGAGGTGGAGGAGAAGCAGCCCGAGGAGGACTTCCAGTGCATCGTGTACTTCTGGCAGGGCCGCGAAGCCTCCAACATGGGCTGGCTCACCTTCACCTTCAGCCTGCAGAAGAAGTTCGAGAGCCTCTTCCCCGGCAAGTTAGAGGTGCGCCTTCATGTTGTGGGGAGGCGTGGCCCACTAGCAGGGTGGGTTCCAGAGAGCTGCTCTTCACACTTTCATGCTCCCAGGTGGTGCGTATGACACAGCAGCAAGAGAACCCCAAGTTCCTGTCCCATTTCAAGAGAAAGTTCATCATCCACCGGGGCAAGAGGAAGACGGCCCAGGGTGCCCTCCAGCCCAGCCTGTACCAGATTCGCACCAACGGCAGTGCCCTCTGCACCAGGTACCTGGCTGGGGGAGGTGGCTCGTGCTGGGCAAGCGGGGTCAGTGAGCCACCCTGACTCCTTGCCGACACGCCCTCCCCCAGGTGCATCCAGATCAACACCGACTCCAGCCTCCTCAACTCTGAGTTCTGCTTCATCCTCAAGGTAGGATCATGGGTGTGGCCAGGACCTTGGGTCAGGGTCAAAGGCTGGACCTGACCTGAGCCCGTCGCACATTCCCCAGGTTCCCTTTGAGAGTGAGGACAACCAGGGCATCGTCTACGCATGGGTGGGCCGGGCGTCAGACCCTGACGAGGCCAAGCTGGCGGAAGATATCCTGAACACTATGTTTGACGCCTCCTACAGCAAGCAGGTGCCCGGGTGGGCGGTGGGTAGGCGGGGAGCGAGGCAGACGGGGGGGCCCTGGGTTGGACGACTCTTCCTCCCGCAGGTCATCAATGAGGGCGAGGAGCCGGAGAACTTCTTCTGGGTGGGCATCGGGGCCCAGAAGCCTTACGACGACGACGCGGAATACATGAAGCACACTAGGCTTTTCCGGTGAGGCAGGGCCCTGGGCCCTCCCTAGCCTCCCCTTCTGTCGGGCCACTGCCACTTACGGCCATCAACTGCTCCCTGATAATCTTGACTCCCAGGTGCTCCAACGAGAAGGGCTACTTTGCGGTGACTGAGAAATGCTCTGATTTTTGCCAAGATGACCTGGCAGACGATGACATCATGTTGCTAGACAATGGTCAAGAGGTGAGCCATTGCTGACCCTGCCCATCCAGGGAGCCTGCGCACTTGTGGAAAGGAATTCTGAGGCCAGAACAGGGGTATTCCTGAGTCACCTGTGAGACCATGTCCCATTGTCTCCCCAGGTGTACATGTGGGTGGGGACCCAGACAAGCCAGGTGGAGATCAAACTGAGTCTCAAGGCCTGCCAGGTGAGTGGTGGAAGGGAGCTGACGGGCCCAGTGGACTGGGAGGGGGCTGGAGGCTCACCCCATGTCCTCACAGGTCTATATCCAGCACATGCGATCCAAAGAACATGAGCAGGCCCGTCGCCTGCGCCTGGTCCGCAAGGGCAACGAGCAGCACGCCTTCACCCGCTGCTTCCACGCCTGGAGCACCTTCCGTAAGGCCCTGGCTTAGGGCATCTGTCACCTGCCTGCAGTGCCCCCATCACCACCCCAGCTGGGATCCAGGACCCTTCGCCCCTCATATAGACCCACACCTGCTACTCTGGGTTCCAGTGGGACCCATCCACCCCTGGTCCCAGGGCAGCCCCAGGGTGTGGGCCTGGATATCACCCACACACTGGGGATGGGAGAGGAAGGGCCTCTGTCCCTCCACGCCAGCCAGTAGAGACCATGCACAGATGGCAGCTCCTGCTCCAGCCACCTGCAGTGCCACACTCGCCAGCAGCACCGCTCAAGCAGCACCAGGTGGGGGTGACCTTGACCCCTGACTGGTGCCCTCAAAGGTCTGAGAAGTTGGACCCTCTTTCCTGCTTGGGATAAAACAGATGTGATTGACCTGTATGAGATATTAAATGCTTTTATTTTCAATATTAAAAATCAGTATTTTTAATATTAAAACCACTAATTTTAACAAAATGACAAAAAAACCCAAGGTACAATCTACAGGGAAACCCATCCTGACCACACTCCTCCCCCATACACACACACACACGCATACTTGACTGAACCTGGCAGGGTTCTCCCTGCCCTCTGTCACACACACAAACGCACGCACGCGCCACACGGGAAGAGGGGATGCTGGCCTAGGAGCAAGTACCAAAATAGTTTTAGAAATGACTGTCCAGCCCAGCACTGGCGTTAGAAAAATACTCTTTGCAAAGGAAGGGGGAGGACTATGTGGAGTGGAGGTGCATGGGCTGCCAGCCCCAGCTGTGGCACCCAGCCTCCAGGGTAGCTAACTGCCTATGGGAGGGGCCCATCAGGCCCTGAGGCTCTGGGTGGCGTCCAAGCCCACACCCTGGGGCTGCCCTGGGCCCAGGGGTGCACAGGTCCTACTGGAACCCAGGATAGCAGGTGTGGGTCTGTATGAGGGGCCAGGGGTCCTGGATCCCAGCTTCAGGCAGAGCAAGTGGTGGTCAGGCAGTTCTGGCCTTCCTGGTAGAGAAAGAAGAGAAAAAGTTGGCAGAAAGGCAGCCCAAGGGTTCAGTCACCGATCTAGGGCTCTGCACTGTCAGCCCGAGGCGGGGCTTGCTGAGTCTTTGAGCACTAACCACATCCAACCCACTGAGGTCAGAAAGGGGGCAGTGATGACCCCAGCAACAGTTGGAGAGAACTGCCAGCTACAGGGAGGGTGAGGCTGTGTGGACAGGGGCACTCAGTGGCAAGTACACTTGGCAGAATTGTGAGCCCCAGATCTGAGACTGGAGCAGTGGTCATCAGTCTTGATCTAGGCCCCCTCTTGGGGCTCACCCAGCAGGGCACAACCACTCCAAGCCACCACCACTCCTAAGTTTGGTCTGGTCTTGGTTCAACCACCACCCATGGTATCCAGGGTAGAATGGCTGACCCTGTTTTCCTAACAACAAACCCTGAGAATCCTATCTGTGTGGGCCCTTGGAGTCCCACTAAGACACCCCTAGAAGGCCTCCAGGCTTCAAAGAGCACCTCTATCACAGGGGCCTGCCAAGATTTGAGGTGTGAGACCAGAGCAGGGATGGGAGTCCCCCCTGAGCAGTAGAATCTGTTGAGGGATAAGGACCAGGTGGACCCAGGGACGCCCCGCACCTACAGCACCTCATTTAATCAGAATGGTGCAGGCTCGAGTCTCATCTTCTACCAGGTTTCTCAGATTCCTCTCCGATTCCTCTGAGGAGCTGGGGGGAATGGTAGTGATCAGAACATTCTCGGGCTTCATGCCACAGGGCTGAGGGATGGGCAGCCCCCCTCCCCGCCTCACCCCAGGAAGTCATTCACATCCTCTGCTGTGACATCCCCTGTGGTGTCCAGCGTGGTATCAGCACTGGTGGCAGAGTCAATGGACATTGGCGAGAGGGTGGCCTCAGGGGGCTCTGGGTTACCTGCAGGAATACAGGGAGGGTTTGGTCAGGCCCTGCTAGACTCTGGACAACCTCTGCATCGAGAGACCTGGGGGCCCAGTCCCAAACCCAGCCCACAGAGGGACATGGCACCTACATAAAGATCCTCCACCCTGCCTCCCAGATCTCTTCTCCCCAGGCTTCCAGCTGCTGCCTCCTGTAGGGGTGTGCCCCATGTCTGAGCTGTGTGGTATCCTGCCACCCCTTTTTCACAACCAGTCCCCCTCACCAGCTCCCTTGCTCTGGACAGGATCGGGGCTTTCATCACGATTCGATGGGGCCAGGACAACACCTGGGGTCCCATTCGCCTGGCTCAGCTTGGGTGACCGGTGGAGCCTGCAGTGCAGAGATGGGACCATGATGGGGGTCACTGGCAGGTACCTAGGGCTTGAGAGCCGGATTGTTCCCCTCCTACTCCTGTGCACTGCACCTGAGTGGCTGACACCAGGGGGGCCAGGCCTGCTCCATGCAGTATCAGGGTGGGGACAAGACTGGGCCTCTGGGTCAGGGACTGACCCCATTTATGCACCTGGAATGAGCAGCATTGTGGGGCCAGCTAATGTCCAGAGAGCAGAGTGGTTCTGTGATGTTCCGGGCACTTAGGGAAAAGCGTTCAAATTCAGACGGGGAAATAAGGTAAAAACCTGGGTAGGAAAGGAGAGTAGTGAGGCCGTGACTCCACAGCCCTGCAGCTGACTCCCCCAACCCTACCCCAACATGCCTCATGCCCCCCGACCTGGAACACCCTTTCTGCTGACCCTCCCTGGCGATTCTCCTGGCCTACTTGGGTCCCTTGGCCCTGGGAAGCTTTGCCTCACCCTGGCCGTGGCGCGTGAAGACACAGGAGGCAATGCCACTGATGTCCTCCTTGCGGATACAGGGGTAGTGCACCTGGGGCCGCAGGCCGGGCACCGAGAAGACATGCACATCACCTAGGTTGGTGAGGCAGGCCAGGCAGGTCTCAGTATAGTCCTCACAGGTCACGCTGGCAAACGTGGCCAGGGCCACCTTACGCACACGACAGCCCTCGTGGGCTGTCAGCTTGAACTTGGTCTTGGCGCTCACTTTGGGCAGTGTGAACACCTGGCAGCGAGAAGGCAGCAGTGAGCAGAGCCGGGCCCTCTGCATAGCGCCAGGGTCCTTCCCTCTGGGATGCCAACACCAGTCCCCACCCCTCCCGCAAGCCCAGCCTGCCAATCAGGACCTCCCGCCCTTTACTACCATTCTTCACATTGCTCCCAGGAACCTCCCAGAATCCCTCCTCTGTGGCAAAACCAGGTACTCTGAGTTGTAAGATTCAGATAACTGATGTCCCCCTCAAACCATGAGCTCCTGCCAAACGTAGCACCAGGGACTGGTCTAGGGCACAGGTGGGGACTTTGAGGGAGGAGGTCATACAGGAATGCAGGAGGCAAAAAGGGAATCTGTGCTGGCCAGGGGTATCACAGGGGTCTCAGAGGATAGGGGGTATAGGCAGAGAAGGGGTTCAAGAGGGCCCAATGGTGTCCATGAGAGGGGAGCTGTGAGGGAGGTCTCCATGGCAGCGTACCTTGAACTGCTCCTCAGAGGCGATGAGCACAGCATGGCCACCCTGCATGTCGGGTGCCTGTGCCAGGTCCCGTGAGGCCTCATAGGGCTCAGGCAGTGGGCGGCCGCGCCCATCCAACACAGCAATGGCCACCACAGGTGCACGATGCATCAGCTGCACCTCCTTGCCCAGCACGGCCTCCACTGCCCGATCAGGTCGCTTCTCACTGCCTGCTGCTGTCGCAGGCACCTCCAGCGCATAGGCGAACACAGAGCCAGAGTTGGTGCCTGCCCACATGGTGGGCCCATGGTGGGCCGCTGAGGAGCAACGGGTTGGTGAGGGAAGGCATCTTCATGATGCCCTGGGACCAGGACTGGTGTTCTCCTGTCTTATGCCTCCCTTGACCTCAGTCAGCCTTGGGCACCACCTCTATGTTGCTGACAGCAATCTGGCCTCAGATGCAGCCCTCCCTGGGAAGCAGGAACTATCTCTGGGGAACCACCATAAGAACATCAACAGCACCCAAATTGGACCCCGATCCCTCTGGCTCTTTCCTTAGCCCCAATCTCAGTAATGCAGCCTCATCACTAAGCCCCAACTCCCCTCCGCCTCCTCATCACTAGTCCTGGCAACAGACTGAGAATCAGGTGTGGTGGAAGGTCAGCAGTCAGCTGTGACAGGTGTGTCACACCCCAGGTGTGACCTTCCACCAACCCCGTTTCACCCCACTTGCCTCAGTGTGGTCCCAGGCCTGTGCTGGAATGAACTGAGCCAGTCCTGAATGCTGTGCAACCCACCTTCCCTGTGTGAGCTGAAGCTCTGGGGAAGGTTCCTTAGTGAAGAACCAGAGCTAAGAATGAGGGAGTGTGGGCGGCCCCAGTGGGCAGCCCTGTGCACCTTGAGGAATGATGACCTCAAGCAACGAGGGCCAAATGCCGGTGAAAAGTTAGTGAGCAACTCAAAACATGGCCCGGGACACAGACGCCTGGCTACGAGAGCCTACACCCTGCTGGACTTCCCATGGGGAAAGTGGGACAAGGTGAAGACCCCTAGGGCTGGCACATCCAAACAGCAGAAAAATCCACCAAGCAAAGAATTCTCAGTAGAACAATGACACCAGAAGGGGGCTCCCCTCAGACTGAGACTGAAGGATACGCCCGTGAAGCACCACGTGCAGACGAGCTGGCTGCTGGCCCAACAAACACTAGCCATAGAAAAAGGCAAATGTGAGCCAAAAGCACTGGATCGGTGGCCACTCACGGGCTGCGGCCTGGGCCTGTGGCTGATTATCTCTGTTAGACACACGCTGAAGTACTGAGTGTGGGTGTTCATTTAAAACACTCCAGCAAGACACACAACAGTGTGTGGGACGGGGACAGTGCAGCAGCAAATGGCTGACAGCCCAGGTGAGCTGTGACGGCGGGTGACTGTAACCGTTTTTGTAGGTGGCCAAAATTTTCCATTGTACAAATTAAAATCAACAAATGAATCAGTCAGTAAACCCAGTCACACCACTTTTCCAAGCAGGACCCTCCTGGTGCCCCATCCATGGGGCCGAGAGTAGCTGTGCCAGGGCCTCCTCGAGCCCTCTGCCCGTACTCAGACACCAGCCTCTCAGCCGTGGCCAGCCCTGCACTCCTGCTCTTCAGCTCTTGGGCTCCCTCCTGCCAGTCCGAGCCTCAGAAGCCAGCCCAGCTCACTCACCAACACACCACGGGAAATTCCCAGGGCACTGTTTGGGCAGGCAGGACACAGTGTACACTGTGTAACATTTCCAAACCTCACTGAAGGCACAGCCCCATCCCTCCCCCAACTCTGCCTATCTCCCAGAGGGCCAACTAAGGCCCACCTCCCAGCCCTTGCCCCTCACCATCTCGAAGGAATGTGTCAGCAAAGTATAGGCAACGCACGACACCCGAGAGGGAGTCGTCGGCCGAGCGGGGTTCGATGCGGCGCTGCACGGGTGTCATCTCCACATCGTGGGGGCAGACCTGCTCTGCCAGATGTGCGTTGGCCTCCTGCAACTGGAGGGGCATTGGGCTCAGGAACCCCACCTCCCCCGTACCCCATCTGCTCCCACAGCCTGGTACCTAACATCCCACACCCTCCCCATCGTGGGAGCCCAGGCTGCTGAGGGATGGATGATAGGAGGTGAGCAGACGTCAGGCTCCAGGTCAGGATCTGAGTCCCACTCCGTTTCCCCAGCACAGCCTGAAGAGGTGGTCCCCAGGCAGCCTGGCCCCATCTCACCTTGCTGTTGGCATGAGGAGTCCGCTTCTTGCCCGAGACCCGGCTCTTGCGAATGCGCCGGAAAGACTGGCGCAGTGACTTCTTGAGCGATTTCACCCGAGAGAGCGGCCCCTCCATGGCCAGGGAGTCATTGGGGTGAAGGGTGCACCTGGAAGCAGTCAGGTGCCAGTCATACTATGGGGCGGCCTTCTGGGGCAGCCACTGTGCTCCAGCAGGCCTCAGGGCAGGGAGCCAGAGTCTTCTGACACTGCCCCACTGTCAGGTGAAGACAAAGCTGCCAGATGCAACAGTATTGCCCTCACCATTAAATCTCAGAAAGGGCAACAGTGAGGTCCCACAGGAGCAGGGGGCTAGGCAGACGTGTAGACCCCATCTCTCCAGGCTCCAGGACACCCCTTAAATACCTGGCCAGAACAGGGCTCTTGCGCTGGTAGTCGAAGAGGCCAAAGCCATGACTGGTGCCAAAGGCGACGAGGCTCCACTCAGCATGGAGCGTGATGGCTGTGACAGCGGCTGGCGGCAGGCACTGCACTAACACACGGGGCTGGAAGCCAGCAGGCCAGGGCAGCGGCCCTGTGCGTGGGCTCAGTCGCTCATGGCCCTTCCAGGTGAAACCCTCGCGGTCCTGGAGGAGATCCACACTGGCCATGCTGACCGCTTGCTCTGATGGCACATCGCTTAGCTCCAGCACCAGCACCTGAGCCCACAGAGGGATGGAGGAGGGTCAGCAAGGGAATGGGGCTACCTGTGTCCTACCTAAGTCTGCAAAGTCACTATCACGATGGTCCCTGCATTGTCTACAGTTCACCCAGTGAATAAGCACTTACTTAATGCCCACTGTGTACCAGAGACCTCACTGGGGGCTGAGGAACACAATGGTGCCAGTCCTAACCCTCCAAGAGTGAAGTACCCACCTTCACATGCCTGTTTACCATTTAGCAATAAGTACAAATTGAGCACTTTCTGTATACTGTGAGTGCTAGATCATGACAGTGACCAAAACCCCACTGGTTGCTGCCCTCCCAGGATGCATCTCACTAGTATTCCCACTGTGTCCCCAATTCCCCAGGGTTCCCCAGAGGCAGATTTTGGACTCAAAACCCCCAGAGAGACCCTAACTCCCTGCCCGGCCTTATCCCAGCCAACCCCTCATGGGGTCTCTCATTCCCACCTCTGAGCTTTTGCCTTCTACTACTTCACCAGATCCTGCAGTTCAGGCTCAGCTCCTTCAGAAAACCCTTTGAGACCCCCAAGCCTGAGGACACTTCAGCCCTACCTGGCCTGCAGTGCCGGCCACCACCATGTGGGCTGTGTACTTGCAGAGAGCGACCTTCTGCACACCAAGCCGGGGATCATCACTGTAGGGGTCAAAGCAGCCAACCTGGAGGTGGGATGAAGTGATGACACGAGGCAGACTCTGTGGGGCTGGGGGAGGGGGCCAGCTTGGGGGAGCAGCCCACCTTGCGGAAGGGTGGCCAGTCATCCTCAGCGGCCTGGGCCTGGCTGTCAGCATGCTCACAGTCCGTCTGGAAGAGGCCAGCTGTGCTCAACTTGTAGAGAGGCCGCAGTGCCACACCAGAGGCATCCCAGAACCTCACAGTGCCATCCTCATGGCTGCAGGCAGGGAGGGTGATGTCAGACCATCCCATGACCTAGCATACACCCCTCCATCCAGTCATCCAGAGACCACTCACAGAGCACCGACTGCACACGACTCTTAATGCACACAGCAAACAGGAAATCTCTGCTGTGTAGGCCAAACTCGTACTAAACACCTACTGTACCACATGCACCCGGGCCTTTCAAATAGGGTAGGGAAATAATGATAAGCAAGAGATGGTAGTGGGGGTAACACAGGGAACAGAGGATCACAGGGGTTCTGCTACTACTGGGGTACCCAGAAAAGATCAAGAGTTAGCCAGTCACAGAGCAGAGGGATCAGCTGGGGCAGAGGCGGCTATGTAGGCAGAGCAGCATGGAGGAGGCCAGGAAACAGCAGGGAGAGGACATGAAAGGGAAAAAACAGTTAAATCTGGGGTGCAGCCATGAGACACAGACCCCAAAATGAGGAGACTTAGATAGTGGTAGGAACCCAGAGTCAAGGTATGAGAAGGTTCAGGAGTCTGTGAGGCTGGTTGGAACATTTCTAGTGGCACTTAAAGCCACCATTAATTCTCCAACAGAGGATGAAACGCTGGAACCAAGGCCCAAGGGTCCCAGTACATGCAGACAGTCGGGCAGGGCAGGAAGTTGGGGCCTGAGTCACCGGGCACGTCAGCACCCGCCAGGCCCAGGCCAGGCTCTCTAGCACCTGCCCTGGGCAGCTCCGCGTGGGCCAGCCCAGATTTTCCGGTCCCAGGGCAGGCTGGGTAGGTGGAGCTCAGTTCCAGGCCAAAAGGCAGGGCAGGGCAGGGACCTGCACCAGGGTCTAGGAAGGCTTCATCCCAATCCACCCTGCAGGAGGGGGCAACCTGGTCCCACCGGGGGCCACGCCTGAGTTACTGGGCAGGTCAGTACCTGCCAGGCCCAGGACAGGCACTTCCAAACCTGTGTGGGTCACATCAGGCTCTGCTACCCCACATACACACACACACACTCATCACAACTATGCCTGCCTGTGGGACATGTCTGCCTACCCAGTCAGCAGCAGCCCTCGCTGTGACGGCTCCTGGGCCAGGTTTCGACCCCCGGTGATGGGCCAGCTCTGGCAGAGAGAGGCAGAGATATTAGCAAAAGATCAGGACAAGTGTCTTCTCCCTCTCACCCTGGGCACAGCATACCGAGACCATCTGCCTCTCAGTTCCTCTTGCCACAGTCCTACCCCCAGGCCTGGGCCTGGGCAGTGCCTTCCATTAGGAACACCCTCCCTCCTCAAGACCCAGCCTGCAAGGATGCTCTGGGCACACACCAAGGCACTGGAGGCAGGTTGGGGACTCTGCTGCTCGCCAGCACTCAGAATGCGGGCCCACAGCTTGGCAGGGACATTGGTGACATGGGCTGAACAGGTGATAGCGGACGAGTGTAGAGGGGCCAGGTAGGGAGCGGGTATGGCCGGCCAGCCAGGTGTCTGCAGATCTAGCACCACCAGTTCCTCTTCAAGCAGCACAGCCAGGGCCTGGGGCTCGTCGAATTCTGTGGGTCAAGGAAGGGATGAGCGCAGCCACAGGTGGGCAGGGCACAGAGTAGGGAGGGGAGGGCACACACCGTCCTCAGGCCGTGTGCTGTGCACTGTGAAGAAGTCGATGATGCGGGAGGTGAAGTCCAGCGTCACCAGAGTCTCAGCCCGGAGCACACTCACACAGTGGCGGTCGCCATAGCTGGCACGCGGCATGCCACCACTGAAGATGATAAAGTGGCCCCTGCATTGGGGTGAAGAAGCCACATGAGCCACAAGGGCTGGGAACACACAATGCCCAGTCCAGGAAGAGTATCACAAGACATCCTTAGAGTCCCAGGGCACCCCCCTTCATCTCTTCAGCCAGAAGCAGGCCCTGACCCACATCTGGGAGCCAGCTCCCCACTTACCCAGATTCACAGTTTCGCCACAGAATCTTGTTGATGGCTTTACAGGGGAAAGGGCCTAGAGAGATGAGAGAGTATTAGACTCACTTCCCAGGACCAGCATTTCTCATGCTTCACCCTGCCCTGCATTCATCACCACCCCCTTGCAGCTACGAAGGGAAGCACCACAGCCCCAACCACAACCCTGGGAGCCTCACCTTCTTGCATTTGACTTGGGACTGTCACCTTCCACAAGTCCTCCTGGATACCCCCACCAAGGCCAGGCAGCCCCAGCACCCAGGCTTGGCGTCATCCACCTACCCCTCACTCAGAGAGCGGGGGCTGCCCTTGGCCTCCCCTGCACTCACCATAGGGAGTGGTGGCTACCGTGGGCTGCGATATTGGGGAGCTGCCAGTGTCCACAGACCAGACGGCATAGCTACCATCACTGTGTGAGCTGACCAGCGTGCTACCGCTGCGCTCCCAGCACAGGCTCTCCAGCTGCTGCAGGGGGAGGGGAGGACAGGCATAAGCTAGGCAGCTGTGAGAAGAGGGCCCTGCTCCAGGCACTGACCTCACCTACACACCTGGTTCCCCAGGAAGACTCGGTCCGCACACTGCGTGACCTGGTTCCAGATAACTAGCAGGCCCCGGCTGTAGCCGATGAGGATCTTGGTGGGGTCCCGTAGGTGTCCCTGCAGTGACTCCACCGGACCCAGCGCCTTCCCGCACCGGTAGTCATCTGGCACGCTGCAGAGAGTCCAGGTGAGCTGGCAGGAGGACTGCCCAGGCACAGAACTGGTGCTGGGAAGTTTGCCTGCTCTCACCTTCGCAGAATCTCGTCTGGACCAAGCGTCTGCCCCTCCAGCAGCATCAGGTTGGGAACATCCAGGAAGAAGACACTGCCACCCTCGGTGCCCAGGGCTGCAACATCACTGGCAGCCAACAGCAGGACCACGGTGACTCGGGCAAGGCTAGGTGGGCCACTGCAAGGGAATGGGGGAGGCAGGTAAGGGTGTGAGCCCATCTACCTGCTGGGGAGGGTATGGAGGAGTCTGGGCTGTCTATCAGCTCAAATCAGCCCCTCTGTACTTGCTGGGGCCTAATTATCAAGTGGGCTGGTGTGAGGGGAAGGTGACAGTGGCGCTGTGGGCATCATAATTAGCTAATTCAATTATTCATCAGGATGTCAGCAGGGAGAGGGATAAAAATAGTTTTCCAAGGTCTTGGTGATGGGCTCCTGAATTCCTCCCACCTATGATGAGGGGAGGCAGAACCAGGCCACCTGAGTGAACCAGGACCCTGAGTTCCAGGACACACTCAGGAAACACACCACCAGCTCAGAGATGTTTCCCTGACTTGACAGGAGAGTCCCAGGTCACCCCTGCCCTGTGCAAAGGCTTGGAGACACCAGAATTTCACCCCTGCATCAGGGCTGGAAGAATGGGGCATCATCCAGACCCTGAAGAAGCAAGACAGGCCTCTCACTGAACCTGGAAGGCATCCTATGGTATGAAGGACTCTCCCACTTGGTCATTTCAGCATTGGCTGGCAGGGCCAGGAGAGTTCCCTTATGCTCTCACCTAGGGGTCCAGGCCCACTCTGTTGCCCCCTGGGATATTCTCCGGCACCTCCTTGCCCCCAAACCTCTCCTTCCACCCATGCATACTATGGCCTGTCATCCTACCACCAATTCAAAGGGGCCAGGGGACCCTTGCTTATGTCAGCTCAGCTGAGACCTGTTCTACAATCCAGATACTCCCACTGTTGCAAGAAGTACCGTGTCATGTAGCAGGTGAGGATGCACAACACATGCTCTCCTATCCTGTGTCTCCTGGTACCCCACCTGTTAAAGGCCTAGCAGTCTAGAACATGGACCCTACCAGTTTATCTCAGACTCAGTTGGAAACTTCCATCTAATACCACAAAGTCCATGTAGAACACCTCAAATGACCCAAGCCCTGCCTTTTGGGACTCATGACCAGCTCAATACCCGCCACCCTGAATGCAGCCCCAGGGGCAGCTTCTGCCCCCACTGTGACTTCACAAGGATATCCTGTTGCCACAGCCATGCAAGGCTCCCCTGTGGTGGGGGCGGTCCTCCAGTACCTGGCTCCATCAAAACCTGGCCGGCTAGGCAGCTGAAAACTATGCGCTTCCTCCAGGTGGGCACAGCCGTTGTGGTGGACAATCTCCCAGAGATGCAGGCTGCTATCATCCAGCAGGGTCATGAGGCGGCCCTAGTAGGTGAGCAGAGACCAAGACTGGGCTGGCCTGAGGGGGTGGGCCACAGGAACCATGGGAGCCAGGCGGAGGGGGTAGAGGCTCACCTGCCCAGGCAGGAAGTGCATCTGGGTGACAGTGGCTGTGTCTCGATGCAAGCCTGTGAACTCCACGCCAGGGGCACCGTAGCTGAGGGCAATAAATCAAGGGCAGAAACAAGCAGGCATGGGCTGGGAAAACGACAGCACAGGAGATGTCCAATTCTCATCCTTCCCCAGGCCCATTCAGACGGGCCTCAGTTGGTCCTGCCTATCTTGGAGTCCTCCAAGGTCCAGGTGGTGGGCTATGTAGCTGAAAAAGCACCATCCGTGGGACCTCCCTGGTGGCGTAGGTGTTAAGACTCAGCACTATCACTGTGATGGTCGGAGTTCAATCCCGGGCACCTGTCTAGCCCGCTGCTCCCCTCAGCAGTGTATTTCAGTCAGTCTGCCTGTTCTGCTCCCCACTCTGTCTCTGGTGAATCCTCTCACCTCCTGCACCTCTGGCCTATACCTTAGATCTTGTATGTATAAATAAATCTTTAATAAAAAGCACCATCCTATTCTCCCAAAGTATACTCAATGCAGGCTCCTCGCAGCTCCTACATGTCATGTGCTGCTGCATGACTTTCACCTCAGCTGCAAAATGGGCTAGCGATTTTCCATTCCCACCCTCACCCTGTAGGGTTGATGCAGAGCAAATGAGAATAAAAGGACACCCAAAACACTTGGTCCACACCTGGGGATCTTGTATGTGTCTGTGGGCCTAAGAGTTTGGCCCACAGGGTGGGATCACACAAGTCAGAGATGCCAGCCCAGTTCAGGCAGGGAAGTTGGGAGCACAGAAGAGTCCAGGCTACCTCTTCCCACTGCTCCAGGACAAACTCTAATTGTGAACAAGGAAACCAACCTCCTTCAGGGTCAGGCAGGCAGCCAGCAAAATCCGTTTGAAGGAAAGGTCCTAGCAGGTCCATTTTACAGATAAGCACACAGAGATTTGGAGAGATTGTATGACCAGCTGCAAGCATCCAGCATCAGTGCCAAAGTCCCAACAACTCCCACAGTAGACCAGTAAGGCCTGAGGGGCCCCAAGAGGAAGGGCTAGGGAGGGGTCATCAGCGTTGCCCAGCGACAATGCCTGTTGCCTGGAGCTGGAGTTGGGATTCCCTGCAGGAGCCGTGGAGAACACAGAAGATGGGACAAAAGAAGGGGCAGGAGTGGCTCAGCAGGAACCAGGGTCACCAAGGAAACAGTCAGCCCTGAGGGGGAGGGGCGGCCTCTGCAGGCAGGGCTGTCCTCTCCAGCCTCAGTTTCCCAGCCCAGGTGGTTTGGAGGAAGCAGGAGAGAAAGAGGGCTCTGGCCTCCTCTTCAAGGCTGTCTCTTGCCAGTACATCAGGTTCTTTGTGAGCCTGAGGAGCCAGTGCACAAGAAGACAATACCAAGGGGGGCACTTCAGTTGTTAACACATGCAAAGCATGAGGCACTTCCGTGCAACGACTGCTGTGGCAGAAAGGTACTGCAGAGACATGACCTGTGTGGAGCAGGAGAGCCCCTACATGGAGCAGGAGCGCAAAGGCCAGGAGGGTGGTGCCTACCAGAGCAAGTGGGGGCCAGGGGTAGAAGGGCCCAGGCCCCTCTCCACCCAGCTCCCTGCCCCATGGGTACCTCAGGAGCCACAGCCACACTGCAGAGCTCAAACCATAGGGCCACATGTCCACTCTTGCCTGGTCAGTGGCATCAGCCCCGGTGTAGGGAGACCCCTTATCACCATCCTCTTTCCAAGCACTGACTCATTTTCCACTAACTGATGTGCTTGAGGATACTGAGACCCAAGGCGGTGGGCAACCTTTACCAAGCAGCTGCCATCCAGACCTGAACCTCAGTTTCCCCGCCTGTGGGGTTTCACCACAAGCAGTGGGGGTAGAATTCTCCACAGCAGGCAAGGAGGCATTCAGCTGCCTGCCTGCCCCCACCCCACCCCCACCCCGCGCCTGCAGGGAAAATGCCCGCTTTGTGCAGCTCATACGGCCTATTGTACAGCCACCAGCAACCAGGTGGGGGCCGTACTGTGCTCACCACGCCGAGCCTGGCACAGCCCCCCGCCCTTCCACTAAACACACGTGTCTGCACATATGCACATGTGTGTGTGTCCAGTCACAGGGCAAGGCCCTCTGTGTGACCCGAGCCCACTCACTAGCCTCGATGGGTACTGAGCACAGCCCAGCCCCCTGGCCTGGCCTCCTCAGTCACAGTTGCTGGGAAGATCTCGCAGGGTCGCCTAGGTAACTGGCTTGTTGAAATGCATCAAGAGACAGCTGTGGTCAGTGCAAGCTGAAGCCCTCCCCCCCAAACACACCCCCGCCCCCGCCATTATCTCTGTGAGGAGGCATCTGGGGCAGAAGCTGAGCCAACCCCCACCAGGATCCTGGCACCTACAAAGGCTTCCAAGGTTGGGCCCTGCCCAAGGAGTCCAGCACACAGGGAGCTGCACGCAAGTTGTTCTGATAGACCCTGGAGGCCACAGCCACAAAGGATACATCTTGACGGCCCCAGACCTGGTGCCAATGGCCATGATTCGAAGCTCAGGGTCGAAGGCCAGGGCGCTGGGCTGGTTGGGGAAGCCATGCTCCACAGTCTGCAAGGAAAGGAAAGGCACTGCAACAGGCAGGCTGCCCCTAGCTTGCCCTGAGAACTGCTTCACTGCAGCCTCCAGCTTTTGCTGCTATTGCACAGCAGGGCTGGAGCAGGAGGAAGGGAGCTGAGGGGTGATCCCACACTCTGTACCTCAGTGTCCTCAACTGTGAAATGGACAATCACACCTCTGTTGTTGTGCAGGGACCTGAGCCCTTAGGGCCTGCCATCCATAGCCTCCCCTGGCCAAGCCCCTCCCTTTCTCAACACCCAAGTCCACCCTACTATACTCAGGGCCCTGGCATCAAACAGGGAGAATAAGGCTTGATGAGATGCTGGCACTGAAATGACCCTGCCTGCTACATGGGGGCATCTACACCCTACTCTTAGAAGCACAGGTGCCTGGTGAGGCACCAAGCTACCCAGGGTCCCTTGTGAAATCCACGGCACTTCCCAAACATAGTCCCTGTATGGAAGTCAGAGGCCAACACCCAGTCAGGCAGGGGCTCTTGACCCTCCCCCCCCACCCCCTCCCAACCACAGGGCTGCCTCTGCCCAGAGATAGGGAGCTTCCGGCCCAGTCCCTGAAAGGATGACCCACCTCTCAGACTCGGGTTCGCCACTTGGAAATTGGACAACATGATTTCTACCCCATCTGTGCTAGGCTGGTGTGAAGGGGGCTTGTGCACAGGGGATATCAGTAGAGCAGCTCCCACTGGGTCCTTTGCTCCTGGCAGGGCCAGTCCTAGTGCAGAGAGCATTGCCCACCCTCCAGATTGCATTACTCCACCTGGCTTGTACTTTCCCCCCTTGGCCCACCCACCTAAGGATCATCCCCCAAGGCCTGAATAGGAGATCCTCCCTGGGGTACCTGCACCCCTGTCCTCAACACTAATGTAGGTCACTGTGTCATAGTACTTGCTGACCACTGTCTCAGGAAGAGACACATTCTGTAAAAAACCCTGGTCCCCAGGCCTGACACCCAACCTCCCTCCTACCCCGGCTCATCCAGGCAGGGACTAAGTCACCTGGACAGCTGGCTTGGCACCCAGTTGTGTGGCTAGTCACAGCACCCTGCAAGCCTCAGTTTCCCATTTGGGTATTGGAGGCAGTGAGTCCACCTGAGGATAAAGCTGCCTATTTGGTCAGGGTTGGGGGCAGCTTCGCTTTCCCACGAGCATGGCAATCCCCATGCTGGACCTGACCACGTCTGGCCAGCTCCTCCTCTTCTCAGGACCCATCCAGCTATCTCAGAGTCAAAGCCAAGTCTTACCATTTGAGCTTCTTCCTCCCACTCTCCCCCTGGCCCACCTGACTCCCGGTCCAGGGGCCTTCTGTTCTCCAATTTACTAAAGGCCTCAGGGTCTGTGCATCTCCTGTCCCTCAACTCCCCACAGCAGGCTCCTTCCCTGCTTCCCTGCACTAGGATCTCAGCTAGTCAACTCCTCCAAAAACTTCATAAACCACCCCCATTCCCCAGATATAGCAACTGTGCATCCCCACACTTGATGCCCTCATCCTGCTTTATCTACAGCACTGGCTACCATCCAAACTACTGCATATTTTACTCTTATGCTTTCATTTTTCACTGTCTCCCCCACTAGTACAAGCTCCTGAGTAAAGAAATAATTGTCCTTTGGTCAGTGCAGAGTCCCCAGCACCTAAAAGGAGCCTTCATACCCAGTAAGCGCTCAGTATTTGTAAACCTGGCATAAACTAGATATCCCACAGACGACCTGTGGTCAGGGCTGGGACATGGACAGAAGATTGAGTCCAAAGTCTTTGTTCACTCCTGATGGGCCACTCCACCCCACCCCCAAACTCAGAAATCTGGGGCCTTCTCTAGTGAGCACCTGCTATTCCCTCTGGTGACCAAAACCCTTGCCCAAGAATGGGGTCTCATCTTCCTTAGCTGAGAGTTGTTCTGCCAACCCAAGGCCAGTCAGGGGGGCTCTCCCCATCATCTGTCTCAGGTCCCCATTTCACACCCCAACTCACTGGCTGAGCAGTCTTAGCACACCCGCACCTTTATTCCCCTCTCACCTCCCAGGAATTCACCCTCATAACCATCCCAGCACAGGAAGGGGGCCATCTGGAAGCCCCTGGGTAGCAGTCTCCCCTTTGGATCCCTGGCAGGTTCTTGGCCACTAACTATGAGGGTTCGGGCAGCCATCCCCAATCAAAAACCCTACCTGCCCCAAGAAACATCCTGGTGCCTCAGCCACTCCAGGTTCAGTGAACCCAGAGCAACCGCCTGGACAAATCTCTTTGATTATGGCAGATCCTCCAAAAATTCCTGCCCTTCAAAGCTAAAGTCAAATCTTAATAATAAAGGGACACTGGGGCAGAGTCCCAGCTCACTCAGTGACTTGGGAAGGTTGTCACTCCTCTCTGAACTTCAATTTTCTCACCTGTGTGATGGGGCTAACTAATCTTAAAGAGCAGTGAGGGACTGTGCTGTCAGAGGGCCTTAAGGTTCGGGAACCAGAACCTATAGCCAGGGTTAGAATTAGCCAGTGAAGCCTGTGACTTCTTGCTGCCAAACACAAGTGCATGTGGAGTTGGGGCTGAAGGCAGCCCCTTTCCCTATGTGCCCTACCCAGAGAAGGAAAGGAAGGAGCAGCCCTTCACCCCCATTCTAGCCTTGGCCCATATGACACAGGGAGTCAAAGCCCACAGCAGGGAGGAAAGAGGTCCCATGTCACAGCAAGGGACGCTGTGGCCCCATGATTTGAAGCGCACTTGGGTATAGAGCTAGGCATCTCCCCTAAAGCCCCCAGTAAGGAAGGGCGGAGCAGGGGAAGACAGAGCCTAGGGAAGTGGGGGAAGGGAGGAGAGGAAAATGGAAGGGATTTCCTAGCCCTACCCCCCAACACATGTCTCCACTCCTCACCCCTCCTGTGGCCCTGGGTGCAGAAGCAAAACAAACAGGGCCCTGAGCTGTCCGAAGGGGCTCGCATGGGACCCCAAAGAAAGATGCAGCAACAGAGTGTGATACAGAGTGAGAGTTCCAGAGACACCCCCGCCCCCGAGACACACTGAGGCAGAGACACGCAGGAAGAGACAGGCAGAGACAAAAGTGAGACAGAAATGGAGAGGCAGAGCTGCAGGGAGGCAGCGAAGGGCCACCCCGCTGACACAGGGCCGGGGCAGACACCCCTCCCGGGGCGCCGGCGAGGGCTGCGCTCGGGCGGCCGTCGAGGCCAGAGAGGCGGCGCCCCGCGCACTGCGGGGCGCGAGAGGCCGGCGCCCGGAGCCCGGCAGGAGAGACCCGCGGACCCGGCCGGCGCGGCCCACACGCGCAGGAGAGGCGGGCGCGGAAAGTCGGCGAGAGCCCCGAGCCCGAGCCCGGGCGCAGCGCCCCGAGGCGCGCGAGGCGGGGCCGCCGAGAGGGCGCCCGGCCCGGCCCTCCCCGCCGGCGCCCGCGCCCCCTCCCCCCGGCCCGACGTGGCTCCGGCCCCGGACCCCCAGCCCGGGCTCGGGCCCGCCCCCTCCCGCCCAGCCCGGGCCGCCGCCGCCGCACCTTGTTGAAGGCGAAGAGTTCCTGCTTCAGCTTCTCGCGCTGCGGGTCGGCGCCTTGCCGCCGGAACCGAAACTTCATCATCTTGCGCTCGGCCGCCGGCGCCGCGCCCGCCGCCACCGCTGCTGCCGCCGCCCGCAGGATGCGCCGCGCGGCCCCGCCGGTCCTGAGGCGCGGGCGGGGCGCCAGGCGGCCCGGGCGCGGGCGCGCGGGGCGGGGCCCGCACGTGGGTGGGCACGGGTTGCGACTGACGCGCCTCCCAGCCAATGAGCGCTCCCGTGCCCCTCTCGCACCGCCCCTTCTGGCTAGACAATGGGGGAAGTCTGGGCCCCCCGGGCTCGGCCGGGCTCGCGAAGGGATGCCCACGGAGCATGCGCCTCGACGCAGGGCCTGCCGGAACTTGTAGTCCATGAGGCCGGGCCCCAATGTGGGTGCCTAGGGACGGGCTGGGGGGTGGGGGGTGGGGTGCGCCCGAAGCGTGTTCCTGAACTTGGAGAAAACTTTTTACTTCCTCCAACCTGCAGGCGAGGTGCATACTCAGGTTATGGGGAGTCCCTGTCCCGAAAGCCAGGGTAACTCTGGGCAACTGACTCCCTGGCCCCTCAACTTCATTTTCCTGATCAATACCACTGACCTGGTGATTGCTAAGTTATTTTACTATTGATAGTTTCGCGGGACACCACTTTGACCGTTCTCCAGCATGTCAGAGGCATCTCCAACCACCACGCATTTGTCTTGGCTGTGTGATCAGTAAGGAATACTTTCCCCAGTCACGAGCCCATGGGGAACTCCTACATATCCTTCAGGAACCAATGTAGAATGTGTAGAAGCCCGAGTCTTAGAAGTGCCATTAGGCAGTAGAAGTGACAGAAACCCAGCAGAGAGAAAAAGGCCTACCTCAGGAGGTGGGACAACAGATCATGGGATTGGATTTGGGCTTTCCAAAAAGGGGGAAGAGCCTCCCCTGCAGGGAACAATGTATAAAAAAGCTGCACCCAACCTCCACTCTGAAGGATAATCACTCTGTCCCCATCCACCTCCCAGGTCTCCTATTCTCATCTGGACAAAAATTTTTGAAGCTGAACTACTTTCCAGGCTGAGGATAGGCTGCCTAGGCTCAGGGCTGGACACCACCAGTTCCCAGTTTAGGTGGGCCAAGCTTCACTCCTACTGGCTGTCAAGGGAGGTGATTTGTGACCCCCAGACAGTTGCCAAGCAATAGGGGCCTAAGTGGCCCCCACTTTGCCATACCCAATTCTATTAATGTTGAATCTGGAAAAGGAGCAAATAGATTGAGGGAGCAAGAAGGTGAGAGGAGTGAGGATGTTAACAAAATTAAAGTGTGTGGCAGCACTACTCAAACCTTTTCCAAGTTTCAAATGATTTAACAATAGTTTTTTTTTGTTTTTTTTTTAATTTTTTTTTTTTTTATAGAGGCATGTTTTCTTTCTTTCTTTATTTGTTTGTTTGTTTATACATGCACTGGGTACAGTCAGAAGCGCGGGAGGGTGAGAGAATTCACCAGAGCCAGAGCGGGGAGCAGAGCAGGCAGAAGGACCGAGTACACTGCTGAGGGGAGCAGCGGGCGGCAGGAGAGGTCTGCGCGCCATGCGGGACCCTCCTCCGGTGGCCGGGAAGCAGCCGGGGATCGAACCGGCGTCGCAGAGGCCGCGGGCAGCTTCGCAACCCAGCGCTCAACCGCTGCACCACCGGGGAGGCCCGATTTAACAATAGTTTTATGGGGGGAGGTTGTTCTATAAGAAAAATAGCAATGTTATCCCAGTTTTACAGATGAGGAAGCTAAGACAGATGAGCAAAGGCAAGAGAGACTTAGACCTGAGTTGTATGCAGGCTGGCTGAATTAAGAAGGTTCAGACCCCTCCAGCCACCCCACACCCAGCACAGGCACCTCAAACAGCTTTGGGTTCTAGTCCCCACCCTGCCACCCACTGGCTGAGTGATTAAGGGCTTGAACCCTAGTTGCTTCTACCATAAAATGAGTGCCTCACACAGGGAAGTTTTTCATTCACATCCAACTTCATCATTTAGAAGCTGAGCAGCCTAGCGCAAGTTTCTTAAGTTCTTTGTGCCTTGGTTTCCCTTGTCTGTAAAAATGTGGATAATACCAGTACCTATCTCAAAGGTTTGTGAAGATGAGTTGAGAGTTGAATTAGTACTTGTAATGTCCTTCGAAGGTATATTGCAGACAGGAAGAGCCACGTGTTAGCTGTTATTATAGTTCTTGCTAATTGCTATCTGAGCCGTCCCCTCTCTCACCCTGGGCAAGTTCCTGCTCTTCTTCATTCTCTCTTTCTCTGTCTCTGAAATGGGACTTAGTCATCAAACAGTAAGTAGCCATGCCTCCTGCCCCACACCCCCTAGTTCACCCCCAGCTTGTGGGACAGAGCCACCCAGAGTTTACTGTGCTGTGATGGGGATGACTGGGGACTGTGGGAATACAGAAGCGGCATCTCACCCGGGGCAGGTGTTCTGGAGGGAAGGGGTTGGGGGGGAGGCGCAATTCAAGCCAGGTTGTACTAGGTAAGGAGTTTAACAGATCGAGAGGGCCTGAGAGCAGAATCCCATGACAAACATGGCTCCTCGAAGTGTCAGAACTTCCCCCCGCCCCTATATACTGTTAACAATGCAGAGTCTAGGTCCCCCAAATGTGAATGCCTGTGGAGTGGGGCACCAGGACCTAGATTTTAATCCAGGCCTTTCCCAGGTGACTCTGAGGCCCAGCTTGGTCTCATTCCACTAGGTTGAAAGGCATTAAATTGGTATACCAGATATAAATAGGTAAACTGAGGTACATGCAGACAGGCCCAGCACATGCATAGAGCCAGATAAGGTTTAGGAATGTCACTGGGGAGGGTACCAGCTTCCAGACAGGAAGGTTCTGGAGCACTAATGACTATTTGTCTCTCCCCTCCTCAGTGATCCAGGGGCAGACCAGGCCTATGATTACCCATGTTAGCCCAAGGCAACAGGGCCAGACTGCCAAACCAAGTTTGCTCATTGCTGGAAGCAGGAAACTGAGGCCCAGAGGAACCCAGACAAGGGCGTGAACACCAGGTTTGCAGTGATCTCAGGCGCCCCCACACCTATCCTGGGAGCCGGGGGACACAGGAGGGCACCTGAGTCAGTCAGCAGCACTGGAAAGTAAAGCTGGTTCTTCCTTCAGCCTCCCAGGCTCAGGTCAACCTCAGGCCAGGGAGGGGTTGCTGCCTCCTTGGCATTTCCTGGGTGGGGTGGCCCCTCCTTCCGCCTCCTCCTAGGCCACCCGGAGCTCAGTTTTGGGGTGGGTCCCAGCTCTGGCTTCAGATTCCAAAACATCCCTTGGCTAGCTAGGTGACCTCAGATAAGCCACTTGTCCACCTTGGGCCTCAGTTCTTTCATCTGAAAATTCAGTAAGGACTAATTGAGATGATTCAAAATACAAGTTGAACACAGGGCCTGTACCTAATGAGCCAGTTGTTTTTAAGACTCTCACCCCGGGACATACTGGGCGCCTCTCCAGTCTTCAAGAAATGTACCAGGTAAGCTTCTGCCTCAGGACCTTTGCACTTGCTGTTTGTGGTTTGACCACTTTATCCCAGGTTTTGTCTTAGCCAAATCCTTTATCTCTTTTTGGTCTTGGCACTTGCTCAAGGAAAACTCCCTGACCTATTATCCCCTCTCCTGGTGTCCTCTTCTGCCTGGTTCTTCTCCCTCTCTCATCAACCATTTATCCACTTCTTCATGTATATATTGCTTGTTCTCATTTTGAAAATGAGCTCCCTATGGGCTGGGTTTTTAATGTTCATTGCTGTATCCCCAGTGCTTCGAACAGTGCCTGGCACACTGTAGGTGTTAACACCACACACACACACTGTCTTGATCTCTCTCTCTCTCTCACATTAAAAATCAAGCAAATATGCAAAATATGCAAAATGTTAATGTGTGTGGGTGATGGGTGCTTGTATGGTTTCTGTTAAGCATTTTTCCATCTGTTTGAAATATTTTATTAAAAATAATAAAACAAAAATATTAATCTGTGCTGTTTAGGAGTCAAGTCTATAAGAAATGGTGGTTGGGCCTCCCTGGTGGCGCAGCGGTTGAGCGCTGGGTTGCGAAGCTGCCTGCAGCCTCTGCAGCGCCGGTTCAATCCCCAGCTGCTCCCCGGCCACCGGAGGAGGGTCCCACATGGCGCGCAGACCTCTCCTGCCGCCCGCTGCTCCCCTCAGCAGTGTGCTTCGGTCCTTCTGCCTGCTCTGATCCCTGCTCTGGCTCTGGTGAATTCTCTCACCCTCCCGCGCTTCTGACTGTACCCAGTGCTTGTATAAATAAATAAATGAATAAATAAATAAATAAATCTTTAAAAAAAAAAAAAAAGAAATGGTGGTTGATAGAATACAGGGGGGCAGGTGGCTATAGAGGTATTTCTGAGCCAGAGTGGCATGCATTGAGGCTATCCTCATAGGCTGCATCCCAATAAATGCTGTATTTGTGCTTTATCTCCTTTTATCCTTAAAATGGTGCTGAAGGCAGGTGCAAGGACACTCTCTATCAACTGTAAATGGAATCTAAGAGTAGAGAAGTGGCTTGCTCAAGGTCACCTAAGGCAAGAAGGGGTAGCAGGGGAAAGCCCCAGAGGGAGGCTGAACAGCAGTGAGTCATGGGAGGAAAATCAGGAGAGCCTGGCTGAAAGAGGCAGGTCCTGTCTTCCGGAATTGGCACAATTCCTGGCTGAGGTCACAACCCTCCACTGCAGCCCAAACCACACATGTAGCTTCTTCCTGGAGGCCCAAAGATTAGAGGAGTGGAGTCTGGCTGGGGTGGAAGAAGATGGAGAAAGTGAGATGCAGGCTGACTAGGAGACCGCTGAGGAGCCAGAGCCTGGGAGGAGTGGGCCTCATCGAGTGATGTACAAAATGAAGCTGGATCTAAAGGTGTTATCTGGGCCCCTTAGTCAACAGGGAACAATATGCTAGGCCTCCAGTAAAGGCCAGACAGGTAGGGGGAGTGTTGGGGCAGCCCCAAGGCTGTCATTTTACAAGAGCAAAATGACACCCAGGGTTACATGAAGGGTAATCCTTGGGTCTCTGTACCTCCTGCCAGTGTTCCTTCCCCAGGTGCAGGA